ATAGAGGAAAGAAAAAAGAGCAAACACTACAAATAGAATCAAATCAACACGGTTGAAACTCCGTTTCATTTCAATATTGAGTGAAAGGGAGTTACGGATGAGGTTAATCAAACATAATCTGACTGCAACAGGGTGAGCAACGATAACGAAAGAATGAAGGAGAGCTTCAGCACGACAACAAATTCAAAAAAACGAGGTATGCCAGAAGCCAAGCGGGTTAAACGCCAAGCTGAAAAAGGGCGAAGCGATCAATTTAAGGGAAAAAGTAGCATAAGAGAATATTTATAATTTTGAGGAATGGAAGAAAGTAGAATGAACACCGCCAACTTCAAGTGCACACTAAAAGTTCATCTCGACAATTTCCCCCTGGCTTCTGGTTCTAGCTAGCGGACTAGTTTCAAATAAGGCTTTATATTTTGAATGTTTCTTGTAAAATCTAACTCCTCCTGAACATTACTGAAATTACACGCGTTAGAGCTACTACTAAGGCTAACCATATGATTCAACAAAAGACACCGAACGGTTTTTATTCTCTCGAAATTTCTTCGCTGTGAAAAATTGCTGGTGAATAATTGTCTCGGTCCCTGAGAAGGGTATAAGTGGTTTTTGGAAGGGGAAGGGTATTCTTTCTTCGAAACTTTTTGGCATTGGTCCCTTTGTGAAGATATCTTTCCTCTTCTTCATGCCGACAGTCTTCAAAGAAGAGCTCTCCATAATAAGTGGCGCGAAATTGAGCGGAAACACCTCATTGGCGCCTAATTGCCGGCGCCACTATGATCGTGGGCGCTCTTGTTGATCGTAAGGACAGCGGTCGACCTCGCCTTGAAAACAGAGACACTTAACACTTGAGAGGTATTTGGGCGGAATAATTCAACAAGGTCGTCGAAGGGAGATTTGGCGGACATCCAAGAGGATCTCTATTGCGCCTCGCTGCAATTGTGGTTGAGGTCAATTGGGCCCACGATCCTGAAGTCGCGGCTAATTTGAGGAAAGAGAGAATTGTGTAAAGGATAATACAATGTAATACATTGGCTGAACTTTGATGACGATCCCCTTCCACTCGATTTTTCACAAGACCGCTTTATAAATGATTTAAGCACAGTTTTGACTCTAGTCTTTTCGAAGTGCTGGCAGTTGGTAGTCAGTTGCGGTGATCCCGTCAAACACATGGAACCAAAGCTTCCCATTCCATCGACGAGGCCGTCATTAGCCCTCTTTGTCTGTGCTCAACAATGCGCGCAAATGCCTTGCACACTTGCAGCCGGTGGTTTCAACAACATTGCCTCCAAGTGGTGTGCCTCACGCGGCATCATTCTTGACAGTTTTTGAATTTAGTGCGAGTTTTTTGTGAATTGAGAACAAATGGTCTGTTCGAAAAATTTGTGTTTGAGCTCATTTATATGTCCTTATTTCATGACTTACTCACGTGCCTCCTTGTTGTTGGTTCTATTTGCAGCAATATTAGGTCATTTTAAGAAGAATTGGCCTGTTTCTCAATTATAGCATTTCAACGACATTAGGCCTTTTTTGTTGGAAAGCTTTTCAAAATTGGCCCGGCTCCTCGTCCAAGTTTTCCATTCTACCTTGTCGGGTATCCATAGGAAGAGAAGCTAGCTGCATTTGTAGTGAACTCGTACTTGTTTCACTGTTGCTTAGGTCACAAGTGGGGGAGGGGGGGGGGGGAATAAATGACTGTTTCGAGGAGTTGTACACCCACAAATTTTCGTGAATTGTGAGAGAAACTGCGTAAGGAGCTTCTAATCAGTATTCATTTCTCATGGGTATTCCATGTATCATTTTTTTGTCATTCCAACAATCCCTTTGGAAATGGTGTCTTATCTATATTACCGCATTCATGGATGAAAAAGGAGCGTAAGAGCGAACAGGATAATAAAGTGTGGATCTTACTTGGCTCTTTGATGATGCAACACCCAATCTGTATCTGACAAAATCATGATATTTTGCTCATAATTCGAGGTTAATGAAAGAATTTCCTACGCTCATAAGCGGATTAATTTGACGATAACCGTCTCCTAATTCACGTAGTTTAGGCTTTGCTGGATTCTTGAGCGCTATCCTGGGGGGGCAGCACATGTGGATCTCACTACTAGGCTTCGCTAGTCAGGACGCTCTGCTATTCAGTGGATCTTGGATATTTCGATAAGTGTTACGAATTGTGGAGTCACGCACTGATTTTGCAGCAAACGTATGTTTGTTATCTTTTGTTCTATTTAAAGAGCCACTGTTTGGTTTTTTTCGTGCTAATTACCCGGTGTTCTTTTAAAGCTTACGCGTTTTTTATAGTAGATTTATATTCTTGCATTGAAAAAAAAAAAAAAAAAAAAATAAAAAAAATAAAAAAAAAAAAAATTTTCCTTCGCAAGTCCCTTCATTAATAAGCAGCCTACGCGAGAATACGAACTCTCTTCTGGATCATTTTTTCATATGCCAACTTTTATCCCCACTTTCCTCTCCCCACCTCATTTTTCACTGACTTGGTTCCCACTTATTCCAAAGTCAAGCAATTTTTTTCAACATTTTTTCTGATTCGAATTCAAAAACTCTGTGAGGCTCTGGAAACTTCATTGCGCGAATAAGAACACGAAAGTCTCAAAAAATCCAAGCCGCATTCTGTTCTACATGTGGCGGTCTTTCCGGATCGACATTGTCACTTCTTTCTGGGACCGACTAATCCTAATTAAGCAATATTGGGCGGAATGAACTACTCGCCCGTGATTGGTTTTGGAGGGGGAGAAAGTCACTTGACCAGACTCAGTATCAATGGCCCCTCAAATAGACCCGGACCGTCGCATCACCCATTACCAACTTCTCTTTACAGTAACCCATCAGTCGACTGCGGCGAACAGATGCGTGGCTTCTTTTTACTGATGAATGTGGGGGTGAAAATTTAAAATAATCGTTTCACATTTCCAAGTTTCCAGGTTTTAATATCAATTCTGGGCTTAATTTTCCCTGTAGAAATGCGTACAAGCAGTGCCTAATGAGACAAATCTGGGGTTAGATATAACTCACATACAGTTACGATTACTTATCACATTACAGATATCTCACTCCTCTTCATCTCTCAACACAAACAATGTTCCAAGCATTTTTGGAGACTTTCCTGCACACTCTGAACGATAGGGTAGTCCACATGGACAACGCAGGACGCCGGAACGCACCTCCAAAACAGGAGATTATTGCTTTCGTGTTCGATAGAGTATGCTATGAATTGGAGAGAGTGAGTTCTTTCAGTTTCTCATTCCCTTCTCAATTTCCAGTTGTTCCGGCGTTTTTGTTGATGGCTGGTAACGAGCTAATCTTTCCAGCTTGCTGAATGGGGTGAACGTCCACTTTCCGATTTGTGCAACTGCGGCGAGGATCATATCCATAGTTGCGATGATGAGAAGAAGCGAGTTGTACTGCTCGGATTGCAGCTGTTAGCATTGGTGGGTGTCACTACTTTTGGACTTTCACATAGTTTATTTTTCTTAATTTATTTTCTTGTGACTACTAACACAGAAAATTTGCTCGTGGGCAGGGCGTCAAACCTACGGTTGCTGGCAAGCTAGCGCCGCGGGGGGTCGTATTTTCCATGAGGTCTTCTAGAGGGGTCGTACTGGGCTTGGGTTGTTGCTGTGCTGAGTGAGGGAGCCGGCGCGGGAGAAAATTTGCCGTTCAGCGCGCGTATATACCCCCTCCCCGCTCGACGGTAATTTTTTGGGGTAAAAATTGTTTTGAAAGAGGGGGTCGTATGAAACATTTCATGAGGGAGGGGGGTCGTAAAAACTTTTTGAAAAGTAGCAACGATAGGACCGACCCTGCTGGTATCGTTGCCTTGCTGAAACTGATAAATGTTTGAGCCCCGTTTTGCCAGGCTACTTACTGCTCTTTTGCCCCTTTTTGCTTTGATCATGGGTTTGCTCAGAAGTCGGTATGCTCTATTGCAGATTAAGATGTAGCAATTCGATCAGAACTGACCAAGTACGTTATCTGAAGAGTTGGCTTAGAGTCATTAGGTCCTGGCCCTGGTTCTGAATTGCCTCAAAGGTCATGACGACCATTTTGGAGTTGATCACTGTCTACAAGACTTTTTCCAGATGAACAGGTTATCATTACCCATGCACAACGATGATGAAGAGGATGATATCGTGGACTTATGTACAGCAGCCAATAATGTTAAGGTAACTTTTTTGATTCAGGGTTATCTCAACGTTTTTAATGTTTAATAATTCTCTCTTCTACGTCCACACAGATTGGCTCTGATTTGTGATAATTACAGATTGATGTGAAGCGTTTGGTGAAAGCGTGCCGTGAACTTAAGATTCCTCTGCTCCATCTTGCAGTCAAAGAAAACGATTTTGTCGAGTTCGAAGGGTGTGTTCATAAAGTTTCAAATTTTGATTGGTTTTTCTACGTGATTCCTATTTCTCTCCTTACAGCATACCTTCACATTTCGTCGTGGATCGCTTGCTAGCAGCTGGTATGTGCGTAAATTCGAAGGACGCCGATGGCGATACTGCGTTGCATGTCATGGTGAAGAATGTCCACCCTAGGTTTGTTTGCTTGTTCCTCATTTGGTTGGCCTTCTGAGTTCTGTAGTCGGCTTTCAATTGCGGGTTTAGGTCAATGTATGAGCAGCGAGGTACCCAGTGAAGGTTTACTTAGAAAAAATTTTTCTTCCACAATGGTTCCCTTTTTCGCTGAGGTCCCATTTCGCAGTTATTGTCCAACTACAATAGGGAAAGCACTTCAGAACTTCGTTGAGTCATGGATGGCGACGTCGCTGCTACACTTTTTGCCTTTCCCGTTTCATTATTTGAAAACGTCCGAGATTACTTTTCCATTTTTTCAAGCAGATCTTGTCATTGTCAAGAGCTCGTTGGTTGAGGATTCTCCAGCGTAACCTCAGCGAAACTTTTTAAACGTATCTTGCCTACCACATATATCTTCATTTTGAGACCTGTCGATAGGTAGAATTTTCTCCTGGAAAATCTCAATCTCATAATGTGGGTGGTTTCCAACAGACCTCAAGTATCTCACCATTTGCTATTCGCAAGGAGGATCTTATATTACCCTATTTCCGGTAGATAAGCCCGCGCCGATATCACGTAAAAACACCTCCGCTGGTGCAGTGCACTTGCGTACATCTAGAGACAACCGTAACTTGCCCATAGGGGTAATTCGATATGCTGACGAAAACGACATTCATTTTTAGCGGTGGCGCCATCTGGCGTCACCTTGTCACGACCCTTGTTTTCACCAAAATCGGTGTAAACTTCTGTATAGGGGTTATTTGGTGCCCTGATTACGAATATGACATTCGTTTTTGGCATTAACGTTGTTCAACGCATATTTCTCGGTTGGAGAGCGCAGACGAGCAGAAAATAGGCGCCAAATAGCGCCAGCGCCGAGAATGAATGTCATATTCGTAATCAGGACACCAAATAACCCCTTACAGAATCGGTGTCGTGAAAGGTGAGCAGTGGGATGTAATTTTCAGTGATTGACAACATTTATGGTAGTTTCGAGGATATGCAGATAACCGGCCCGAGCGAAGTGTTTGCACGTGACATTTAGCGCGGGCTAAATATAACCGGAAATCAGGGTATTCTTTTATTTTGCTCTTTTCTTCCTCAGTACATATCTTTTTCTCTTATCGTCTCCCACTTTTCAATATTTTGATTTACATGCCTTTCACCGAATTATGGTTCTTAATTGCACATCGTAGAACTCGCAGGAATCATGTGAAGAATGTCGGGAGAGGTTCGAAAAAATAGTTTTGGATTATTGCTGGCATTCTCAGTGCATGGTTTCAGGATGAGCATTATACGGCTACTACTGGATTATGGTGCGTACGCTTTGGCACGTGACGCTAACGGTAACACATGGCTTTGATATTATTGCGAACCGCGCCGAGCCACTGCAACCGTTTTTCCATCCTCTGCGAATCGGTCAGTTTTCTTCAGTTTGAGGTAGTCTGCGCAGTAATTCCCGAGATTTCGACTATGTAGGAGTAGCTATCCTGGTTCGAGTCTGATAATAACTGGTTGCCTTCGTTCTATTGGGGTCGGGTAAACAAGCATGGGATGCATTTAGTACGTAGTATTTGGCCCTTAGCCGTGGTTCGTTGCCACAAGCGGTTTCGAAATCATTTTTCTGGACCGAGTATGAGCCATGCTGCACTCGAAGAAGAAGCTATTTGAAATCCCCATGATCTATCGCATAAAAAACGAGTCGTTGTACCACCACAGGGCATCACACCCCCAAGCCGTGTGGACCGGTGTGGTACCATAAGATGCCACACCGGCTCATGATTTGTGAAAGGTGCCCTGTGCTGTTATGCTAACGTCACACTGTTGAAGATGTTTGAGATGTAATTCACTTGAGGCCAATATTTTCTTCCTTTCTTCCTGGAGTGTCAACTTTATTAAATGAAAATATTTCAGGAAAGTACATCACTCTGAAAGGCCTAGCAGCAAATGCTGTTCGAAGGAACAATATAGCTCATGATGGCGTCATCCCACAAGATCTGCTGTATTTCACCGAGTTACATTAGCTTCGCTAACGATGCGTCATTAGTGATCGAGATCACTGTGGTAATTCGAGTTATTTTTTTCGATATAGACGTTTTCATGACGCTTTACGATTTTCCAACGATGTGTAATATTAGCTACAAAGCAACGGGTTTGTGGATATCTAACATGGCGTAGAGTTTGCTGCAAAATATTAAATTAGTAGATATGATTTTAAGAGGATAGGTGCCGACCTATTGTTAGATTGCGTCCAAGAGTATCGCTGAGTGACGTTATTGCTTTTGTCGCTTAACTGTTTTTAGAGTTAAGCTAACTGGTAGCATTTTATGCTATGTAGATGAAGTTAGTCGGATTACCTCTTTACAAATGAATTTTGTAGTAGATGTGCGTAGGGTTTTGGAAAGACTCTTTGGTTAATCAATCTCGAAGTGCAGTTCAGGAAGAAATTCTACGGCGTGTCCACCTAGTGGAAAAGTTATGTGGGCATAAGAGCATTCACGCTCCGATAAAGGGGTTTTTTGTAACTTTTTTTTTCATCACGGCCATGCCCTTCGGGGGAGATGCAGGGTTTTGTTAAAAGGTTTGCAATGCTTTCCTGCAGTCGCAATGCATCGATATTGCTGTTTTAAGATAACAAAGCCCGATTTCCATCATGCAACTAAAAGCCGCGTCTGGAAATTCTTTCTGTACTGTACTTTGGTGTCTGCTTGCTGAAACTCCTTCTGTAGTCCTTTTTCTCACGTCGTGCACATAAGGAGTTGATACTAGCGCGAATGACCGTGACCTTTTTTGATGTACATTTGCAATTGTAAAGCAGCTTATGGCTGCTTTTGCACTCGGTGACCTTGCAGCAGCAGTTCTTAATGTAAGGCATACATATC